AAAATATAAATATATAAATAAATAAATATATATATAATTTTAAAAGATGGAGGTGTAGTATCTAAAGTATATTTTTTCTAGGGTATTCTGTTTATCCAGAGAAAACTCTTCCCATTTCTTGTCTGAGGACTTTGACTAAAGCTACAAGTTTTCTGAAAGCAGGCAGAGGAAGGAGTTTAGTACATTGACTTCCACTGAATCCACTTTTTTTTATTCTGGTGCCACACCTTTTCCTGACTCCCTTGACAAGAATAAGGAGCCTCTTGGGTTTAATTTCTCCTCAAATAAATGTGAACATGTTTGTTTGCTCTTTAGCTGTACCTGAGGATGTGTTATATTTCATGGCTGTGTAGAGTAGAGGAGGGGTCGTAAGGTCCCTTGACACTTCCCATATGGATTGTCAACTAATGCCCCTCTTTTCAGCCTGTTTACTATCACTCACTCACACACACACACACACACACACACACACACACACACACACACTCTGTGCCTCTATCTCCCGAACCTCTGACATTTTTACAAGGAAAACTAGTTTACTTCTTAGACATTCCTCTCTGCAAATACTTAGGATATGTCTTCCTCTGGTTTGCTTAGTCAGTTCTCACTTCTCCACAACTTCAACCTTCCAAATATGTATTCAAATCTCTTGTGCTTTACTGTGTCCTCTCCCATTCACTTTGCCCTTGCGATATAAAGTCTTTTCTTTTTTTACATATCATTTTAGTTGGGTCTAGGGAGGAAGAGACAATAGAGGTATATGATCAACCTGCTGTGTTTAACCGGAAGGTTCTCCTAATATAAAAGAGCATTAGTAGGAAGCATATTATTTTTTGGCAAGTGATGATAGATTTGTGCTCAAATGTCCATCTCCTCTCTAGGTCTCCCAGGCACATGTAATAGTTACTTACAGGAGACCTAGCTATGGTGAGGGGGCAGGGCACACTGGTTATAAAAAGGAACACCAGAAAATGCAATGGTTAAGTTCAGTATAAATTTTGCTAACTTTACTGAAATGCACCATTATACCTATCATAAATAACCTCTCATTTTCCACTGGAATTTAAGTAATCTGAGGATTCCTTCTATTTCTCTTTATGTCTCCTGGCTTTTAACTCAGTATCTTGAATTAGAGAAAATATTTATTAACAAACTATAAGCTACTAATTTACTCTTTAGAGCAGGGGTCCTCAAACTACAGCCCGCGGGCCACATGCAAATATAAATATTGTATTTGTTCCCGTTTTGTTTTTTTACTTCAAAGTAAGATATGTGCAGTGTGCATGGGAATTTGTTCATAGTTTTATTTTTTAAACTATAGTCCAGCCCTCCAACGGTCTGAGGGACAGTGAACTGGCCGCCTGTTTAAAAGTTTGAGGACCACTGCTTTAGAGAGTTCTGAACTGCTTACAGAAAAACAATTTTGTATTAGATTATTTCTTCTTTAAAAAAAAAGAGCTGCTAAGCATCCCACTTCTGATATGCATATGGGAAAAAAGCCATGACCCTATTTTCTTATATGACCCTATTATAGATGACTGGTCCAAGGTAGGCATCTAATTCAAGCCAGGTTAACCACAGAACCCCCCTTCCATGATAGTTCAGAGAATACCTAAACTTAACCAGAATCGGTTTCTCACAGGTGAATAAAGTTATAAGAAATAACACCCAGTAACTGTTGCAGGCCATATTTCCTAACACATAGAGAAACAATTCTAGTTCCTGTTGTATTGAAGGTCCAGCCTTATTTTTCAATGTGGGCATGTTAAGTTTGGAGACATATATTAAAGAAAGTTTCATATATTAGGAGTATAGAATAAAGAGTCAAAGGACAGAAGCAGAAAATAATTAAGCAGAACTTGAAACATATTTACAAACATTAGTCCATGTAAAAGGACGCCATATCCTAAAAATTTATTTAATTCTATTTCATTTTATATAACACAAATATATGTCCTGTATTTTGGTAGACCCAGTAGGAGGTGAAAGAATATTTTAAAAAGTATCTAAAATAAAAACATACTGAAATATGTCACAAATCGAATAATGTGCTGGAAGGATACGGCTATATAAAAAGAATCACTGCTTTATAACTTTGGAAGCCAAGAACTGCAGGAACCAGCAACAACAAAAAATCCACCATCACTTATCTCCAAGATGTCAACCAGGCAACTGTATCACTTAATACAGCGGTTCTCAACCTGTGGGTCGCGACCCCTTTGGCGGTCAAACAACCCTTCCACAGGGGTCGCCTAAGACCATCCTGCATATCAGATATTTACATTACGATTCATAACAGTAGCAACATTACAGTTATAACGTAGCAACGAAAATAATTTTATGGTTGGGTCACAACATGAGGAACTGTATTTAAAGGGCCAGAAGGTTGAGAACCACTGGTCCAGAGGGATATCTCAGCTGTGGGGGGTTTCCACTGAGAACTCTGGGTCTGCACGCCTGGGCTCTCCAACACAGAGCACCAGAACTGAGAATGGTGCCCACATAACATCTGGCTGTGAAAGCAGCAGGGCTGCTGTCTGCCAGGGAGAGATGGCTGAAAATGCAGGCACCCTCTTAAAGGGCCAACGCATAAAATTTAGTATGCTGCCACTCACCTTGGGCTCCGGCAGAGGGAGGGCAGAGTGGACTGGAGCTGTGTGAGCAGAAGCCAGGGGTGGGGTTCTAGGGTTGGAGCTCAGAAGGCAGCCACCTGTGGTTTCCTGTGCTGAGTCATTCCCTCAAGCAGCAGAGGTCATCTTTCTCAGGCAGACCTCTGCTATGGAGGCAGGTTTTGCCTGGGGGAAGACAGCTGACCCACTCCATTGGAAACACCTTGCCCAAAGGTGCGAGTTTCTGAGGCCCATTAACAGACTGAGAATAGCAAATAGCCTCTAGGCCAGTGGTTCTCAACCTTCCTAATGCCACGACCTTTTAATACAGTTCCTCATGTTGTGGTGACCCCCGACCATAAAATTATTTTCGTTGCTACTTCATAACTGTAATTTTGCTGCTGTTATGAATCGTAATGTAAATATCTGATATGCAGGATGTATTTTCATTGTTACAAATTGAACATAATTAAAGCATAGTGATTAATCACAAAAACAATATGTAATTATATATGTGTTTTCCGATGGTCTTAGGCGACCCCTGTGAAAAGGTCATTCGACCCCCAAAGGGGTTGTGACCCATAGGTTGAGAACCACTGCTCTAGGCAGAAACAATTGCCCCAGCCTGTTGGAAAACCTCTCACCACACCTGTGGATGATTGCTTGAGGGTTACTCAAAACTGAAACCAATCAGTCAATAGGCAGAGGTGGATCTCTAAAGGCTTTTAGTATTTCCTGACCTAATTAGTCAGAA